AAAAAAAAAAAAAAGGAAGAAAAAAGAAAAGGAGGAAGGAAAAGGCAAAACGAGCCAGCAGCGACTCAGCGCGGAGGACCCGTGGCGGCCGCGCTCGCCGGCTGGAGCAGCGCCCTCCCGGAGCCGGTGCCGCGGCCGCCCTGCCCCCTCCCCGCCGCGCCGGCAGCAGCGTCCCCGCCGCCGCGCTCCCGCCCCCGGCCGCCGTTCATGAGGGGCCCGGCCGCCCGCCCGGAGCCCAGAAGACGCGCAGCACGGGAAGGAGCCCGCCGCGGAGCCGGAGCCGCCACCGCCGGACCCCGCGTCCCGGTTAGTCCGCCGGGCTCCCCCCTCCGCTCCGCCCCGCGGCCGAGACCCCGTCCCGTCACCTCCGGGCGATTTGGGAGAACCGGTTAAACACCTTCCATGGGGGAGAGAGGAGCCCGGCCCCCCGCCGCCTGCACCTTCCCCTCCCTGCCGGAGGCTGCTCCTCTCCTGAGGTAAAAAAAAAAAAATACAGAAAAAGAGAGAAAGAAAGAGAGAAAGACCAACCTAACAAGCCAGCACCGACAAAATCCCTCCCCCGGCGCCAGGACTGTTGCTTGGGAGGGGGGACACGGCGGGGGGACCCCCGGGCCTGGCGAGCGCAGCCGAGCGGAGCCCCCGCGGCCCGGCCCGGCGAGAGGAGCGAGCCCGAGCCCGCAGCGCGCCCGGCCGCGGAGCCGCCCGGCCCTGCCGCGGCACCGCTCGCCGCCTCCCTCCTTCCCTGCCTTTTTTTTTTTTTTTTTCCTTTTTTGTTCCACCCTCCCCTTCCCCCGGACACCGAATTGCTGCTCTCTGAGATGAAAACCTCCCTCCCCGGACAGCCAGGACTCGTGTGAAGGACGCGCCGACACGGGATCGTGAGCAAGGAGCGAGCGCGCAGAGCCAGCCCGGCGGCGGCGGCGAGACCCTCCGCTCCCGGCCCCGCTCCCCGCGGCGGCCCCGGCGCCCGGAGCCGCGCCCGCTTCCCCGGCCGCGCCCGCACTTCAGGTTCCCACCACGTAGGATAGGGAAACCCGGCGGGAAGAGCCGCCTCCGCACCGCGCTTGCCCCCGCGCACCCCCGCTCTGCTCCCCCGCTGGATGCCGACATCCTGAGGTAGTTTTTTTTTTTTCCCCACCCTCACAGCAAAGACTCTTTTTTTTTTTTTTTTTTAACAGGACACAAATATATATTAGATAATAGAGATGTATTAAATTATTCCAGATTTAAATCTATTTTTTTGCTGCCAAGGAGTAGGGGGGACCAGACATCGTCGTGTGTATATATATCTTTATTTTTCCTCTTMACTCATTTATGGGTGAGTCAAGGCTGCTGAGGAAAAAAAAAATAGTGTAGTTAAAATCCCTTTATCCTTCTCCACAGAAGCTTTTTTTTCTTTCTTTCATTGCTGTGCATTTCCTTTTGAAAAAGGAAACCTCTTATTTTGTGAACCAAAGATTTATTTTTCCCTTCCTCCTGGCCAAAGGAAGGAAACAGATAAATTGATACATTTAAATAGTCAAAGAGATTATCTTTTACGGGGGAAAAAAAATTCTATATCTGAACCTGAAATAGTGTGGAGGGAGAAACTGGAATATCTAGCTAAACCCGGGATATTTACTAATCTCTCCTCAGCAGAGGAAGAGGTAAACACTAAACATCAACTTGTTCTTGCAAGGAGGATTCAAACCCTAAATATAATAAATGGGGGATTACGGGTTTGGAGTGTTAGTGCAAAACAACACTGGAAATAAGTCAGCTTTTCCAGTCAGATTTCATCCACATCTGCAGCCTCCGCACCATCATCAAAATGCAACCCCCAGCCCTGCTGCTTTTATAAATAATAACACAGCTGCCAATGGCAGTAGTGCTGGGTCAGCTTGGCTCTTTCCTGCTCCAGCTGCCCATAATATTCAGGATGAGATTCTAGGGCCGGAAAAATCGAAAACTCAGCAACAGGAAAAGCAAGAGTCCCTAGAAAAACAGCAGCTTTCCCCTAGTCAAAGTCAGGAAGCAGGCATGCTGTCCGAACCCGAGAAAGCTAAAACTGAAGAAAATCAGGGCGATAACTCTTCGGAGAACGGCAGTGGCAAGGAGAAAATCAGAATAGAGTCGCCGGTGTTAACAGCATTCGATTATCAAGAGGCTTCGGGGCTGGGTACTTCGACGCAGCCCCTGACGTCCACAGCATCTTCTCTGACTGGTTTCAGTAACTGGTCTGCGGCTATCGCTCCTTCTTCTTCTACAATAATCAATGAAGATGCAAGCTTTTTTCACCAGGGAGGGGTCCCTACCGCCTCGGCTAATAATGGTGCTCTGCTGTTTCAGAATTTTCCACATCACGTCAGCCCTGGCTTTGGTGGTAGCTTTTCCCCCCAGATCGGACCCCTCTCTCAGCACCACCCTCATCACCCCCATTTTCAGCATCATCACAATCAGCATCAGCAACAGAGAAGGTCTCCTGCAAGTCCTCACCCGCCACCCTTTACACATAGAAATGCTGCTTTTAATCAGCTGCCTCATCTGGCTAATAATCTTAACAAGCCACCTTCTCCATGGAGCAGCTACCAAAGCCCATCGCCTACACCCTCTTCGTGGAGCCCTGGTGGTGGCGGATACGGTGGGTGGGGAGGGTCCCAAGGGCGAGACCACCGCAGGGGACTGAACGGAGGGATAACACCCCTGAACTCCATCTCACCCTTGAAGAAGAATTTTGCAAGTAATCACATCCAGTTGCAGAAATAYGCTCGCCCCAGCTCTGCCTTTGCTCCAAAATCTTGGATGGAAGACAGTTTGAATAGAGCGGACAACATTTTCCCTTTTCAGGTGAGTGTCCTCCACGATATCTGTAAGAAAAATAACAGATAAGTGCAATAAAATGCCCTAGAAAGGGTGGGATATGGGGATTTGAATAACGCAGCCTGATTGTATGACCTGTATGTTTACCAAAAAAAMCCCAAAAAAACCTCATGTTAAATGTCACAGCGTGAATTACACTCTTCACGACCTGGGCTGTGAATCACGCTTTTTTTAACGGTGCTGGTCATATGTGTAGCCTGCCAAACACCTATAATTAGCCTGTTTCCTTGATCTTAGTACTTCTACACATTAAAAAAAATAATTGATGGAAAAAAAAGAAAAAAAAAAATACAGTTACAAATAGGAAGTAGATCTGCAAGGATGAGTATGGGAAAAATTGTTTCCTGATGAAGTGCAAAAGACTTGAAGCTTTTTAAAGCATTTTGAAGAAGCAGCAAATCTGAGGGTGGAGAAATCTATTGTTATTGTGTTTTATTTTACAGTATCATATGAACTTGCAGTGTATCATTTTTCTAGACTTTTTTAAAAACTATTTTTTCCTATAGTGATAATTAAGGTGTTCTACTTTCCTCAGCAACAGTAGTAAATTTTGGTTACAGATCATTAAATCATTACCAAAAATAGATCTGGACAAATGTCAGTTGGTGGTCTCCTGTATTTCATTCTGACCCTATCCTGGCAGGAGGCAGGTTGTCTGACATTTCAGCCTCTCCTTCTAGGCTGACTGTGTATGATTTTGAAGAGAACAGTATAATGTGGAACTTAAATTGCAGTGAATGTTGAAATAGAAATAATCTTTATCTAACTGCTACTTAAACCTATATTTTATGTGGATGTGCTTTTTGTGGGCTCCTGGGGCGAATTTAGAAATGTAAGAGAACTTGAACGTCCAKCGGGTTGTTTTTCAGGACCTTCAAATGAGGGCAAAAGTAAAAATTTCCAAACGGTTGCAGTATTTCTAACCTGGGTGTAAGAAGCATCATGACCTACTTTTAAATAATTTGAGGGATCAGTAGATAAGAACAATGCAATATGTCTCATGCCATGAACCACCCTAAAGAAAAAGAAAAATGTTTAACAGTGAACTTGTGGATTCAGAGTGAACAGTTCACTCCTTATAGACTGCTGGGTTTCTCTCTGGCTTATAGGAGCTATGCAGCTTTCTGACAACACAGCAGCTGCTGGCAATAACTTTCCATTAAAGCCCTTTCTTTTCAGTGCAGAGCTACTAGCTGCTTAAATATCAAGTAGAGCCTATGTAGCTTTAGAATGCAATGTTATAACTGTTTTTAATGTTAGGATTTGGAATTAATATAAACAGCCTGTGTCCAGCACACCACATTTATGCATCAAAAACGTTAGGAAAAGGGACACAGCTGGAGCTGGGCTTTTCTTTCAGCCTGGCTGCGGCAGGACTTGGCTCACAATTCATCCTGCACCCTGACACACAGCTGATGTACAGACTGACAGAATGAGATCAAGTGTGCCCTTGCTGCTATGTTTAGGGCCCAAATGTACACATGGGGATAGAAATGGGCTCGGTTTGGTATAAAGGAAATTTCAGGGAGCTGACAAAATCAACCTGGACTTTAAGATTGTGTTCAGAAGATAAAAATATTAGGACCTGTATTTTGATAGTCGTCAAAAATAATTTTTATGTAGCGTGTTGGTATCTGTTTACATAAACACTAAGGTGAAGCTGTACATGTCACGACCAAGTCTGACACTTCCACATGCCGAGAAAGGGAAGGTGTTAAAGTGAAGGCTTTCCAGGCTGCCCCTATCAGTCCTGTGGAAAAAAGGGCAGGGCCAAAAAAACAGGACTTCAGCACCGCAGCCCRAAAGATGCTGATTAATTTTGAAGCCATCTTGGACAACTGCTTTTTATGATTTTGTTAATGCAAAATCATAATCTCCTTTGGTCACCGAGCACGTGGCGTTTTTGAATTGCTGAAAAAAAGATGTAGAATTTGACCTTTAATTTTTTTTCTTGTTTATACTGCTTGTGTGGCTTAAAGCAGAAATGAAGAGTTTTGCTTATGATATTCATGTGTATATARATATATATGTATCTCTATATATGAAGCATCCTTGAGTCGGTCAAGTATTGGCCAAGGCTGTTTTGTTAATGGAATCTTCTTAGATTCCTATTTAGGAAGTAATTGAAAGCAGTCTTTGCTGGAGCAAAATAATGGAGTAATTTGAGACAACTATCCCTCTCATTTAATATTTATGTTTTGTTACTTAAATGATTAACAAGTGTTGCTGTAATACAGTGAAAAGGAGTTTCTTTAAGGAGGCAAGATGTAAACCAGCAATTGCAGGTATTTGGGGCTCGCTTTTGTGTGTATATTAGCACAGGTTATCCTTCATGCTCAGTGAAACACAGAAGGGTGTTTTGATGGAAATCTTAGGGTAACGGAGGAGAAATGCTCGTGTCCTCTTTGAGAAGACCTCATTGCATAATGTCCCTATAAAGCATTAGTGCAAACTACTACTCACTTCAGATACTTCTGCCTAGAGCTCTTAGGCACTTGTGATGAAATGGGTGCTCAAATAAAAGGAAAATTCTGTGGATCTGCATTGATAATCATGCGATTTTGCTAGTTGCTTGCATGGTGCTAAGAGTTGCAAGGAAACTGCTGTTTTTTCACTCCAAAGTGTTTCTATCTTGGAATTCTGTATGATTACACCTCCCAAGCAGACGTCCATAGCAACCTCTCCTCGCAGACATGGAAATTGAGGCAAGGTCAGAGAAGCCAATTATCAGGCCTGTTAATGAAATTAAGGCTAAAAACTGTGCTTTAGCCAGCCGACAGCCTCTTCCCTTGAAAGGTCCTTGGAAAAGAGAAAAGCCATTGTTCTTTGTGTGTTGCTTTGAAAAGGAAATGGGCTCCAAAGGAAAAAATGGTTCCCGAATAAAGAAATTGGAGCGTTTGTGGATCCCATAGCCTCCCCTGCCCATGAATAAGTGAAAAGAGATATGAATGTGCTTCTTACATCTGACAAAATTACTGCTTTTTTTTTTAATTTTAAATAATTCCTTCCACTTCCCTCCTTGCAGCACTGTCAGGCTAAGTGCTCAGTAATTGCATTTTACTGTAGCATTGTCCTCAAGACTGTTTGGGCTTTGCTTTTGCTCTCTGCTTTTACTTCCTCATGAGAGTGGAACATCCTGCTGGTTATGCAATGCATAAATCTTGCTTTTATAGGCGTTTCCAGATCTTATCCTCAAGTGCAGGATGATACTTTTTATATTGGCCTTTGAAACCACTAGCAAGTTCAGCACCAGCATTGCACTTTTTATAGAAGTGCTTCAAAATAATTGGTCTTTATTTCTGGACTCAGACTTGAAAATAATTGTCTATTTCGAAGAATTTTGAACACAAGGATAAATCATTAGATCCCCTTGTTCAAAATGTCTTTTCCCCCCCCGTTTTTTTTATACCCAGAAATTAGTCACTGCAGATATAACCCCTTCCACATCCAAGGAGGGTCYGTGCCAGAGGGACTTTCTCTTCCTCTAGGCGGACACAGAATATCTACAAAATACAAGAGCGCACATACATGATTACAGAAGATGTTTTATTTCTAAACTGAAGTGATTATTTGTTTGCATGTAGAAAGTTTGACTTAAGTGCATTAAAACAATAATTCTCAGGAAATGAATTAAAAAAAAAACTTCTGAATGTATTTGCCAGTCTTTCCTCTTAAAGGAATTTTGCAAGTTAAATTCTTAACAAATATTTTTTAAAAGCATAACAACTTCTTGTTGAGGAACCTCTTAGAAATTAGGCTGTCTGGTTGCATAAAATGAGGCTACTTGTTTTGCAGAAAGTTTACAATTTTTTTTCCCTTCATCCTAGTATCAGCAATTACTCTGAAATTTCAGGCCGTCATTTAAAAATAGTGTATTAGAACTTGGGTTTTTAAATATCTAGTCACCCATTTTTTCCTCTAACTACATCAGCTGTGCAGTAATTAGTGTTTTGTGCTGTTCCCCACAGCTAGTGGTCTGTGGAATTAGAAGCACTCTAATGTGGCATGACATGCACAAGTTGAGGACTATGGAAGTTAACACTGTTCTTGTTTTATAAACTTACTACTGACGTTAATACTTCAGCTTTGGCCCTCCTGTGCGTTTTTGACCTCAGGGTTTCTTTTTAAAGAGAGCTTTTGTTAGAAGCTATTTGAATTATGTTTGTATTTTGCAGAGATTAAAAGGAATACTCTTATTAAGCATTTTCCTTTGAAAATGAATAGCATGCTTAGCCTGGCGCAAAGATTGAGAACACAAGGTATTGTGGAAAACAGTTTATAGAAGATTATGGATATTTATATTAAAAATGTGGCTAAAATAGGATTGAACATGTTACTAGAAATGTTTATGAATGTTTATAATTTCTAATGTGTAAAAATAAGTTCAAGTTTGACAAAACCAGGAGCACCCCTTCCCGAAGAAGTTCCAATGTAATGCGTCATTTTTCCAGCTTTTTCTTATTGTTCCCTGGTGAAGCTATAAAAGATGATCAGGGCAACATCCTTTCAGGAAAAACCTGTTTATTCAAAGCCTTTAATTCACTGGATCCTGGTCTGGGAGCTGTAATTCAGCATTGTCAAGGTGGTGTACAGGCAGAGAAGCATACTCAGAATTGGAATCAGGTCCAAATTTGCTTAATAATTAAGAGAAAAATGTGGAACTTTTAGTATCTGTAATATTACCTTTCTTTACCCTGCACTTTGCCTGTGATGCCAGGATTTTTATTTATGGGAGATAGGTACAAGGTTTCAGAAGGTTTCAGGCTTCTCAGGCTATAAAGAGGGTGGCAAGTATAGCTGTGAATTCTCTGATTTTTCACTAGTATTCTAGTATTTGACGAAGACTTAAATATATAAAATAAGCCCTGGTTTTAAGCATTGTAAAAACTACACTGGCTCCATAAATAGGGTTTCATCACCTTCAATAAAGGGCTTAACTCACTGGTTTGCTTTACATTATTACTGTT